GAGCCTGTCCTGTGCCGGGGTCCCCCCCCATGGATGCCAGACCCCTCCCTGCAGCGACCTCCCCTCTGCCACTGGTGTGATGAGTTTGCTGTCTGAGCTGGGCCGGGACACCGGGTGCCCACCGAAGGGCTGGCTCTCCAGTGGGTGTTGCCCCCCACCTTTGCTAGATGAGTCCTGGGGCACCCCGGCAGCGCCAGCCGCTCTCCTGAGCGGGAGGGTGGGTGCGGTGGGGGGACACAAGCGCAGTCCCCATCCCCCCCACCCCCATCCTGGGGCAGGAAGGAACCAGCCAGCATGAGCCCTCCCTGCCAACAAAAGCAGCTTTTTGGGAGGCAGCCCTGGCCCCCAGCCAGCCTGGGCTTGGCCCCTCCCCGCTGGGCTGGCACGAGGTGCTGGCACCCCTGGGATGGTGGGGGGACCCTTCCTTCCCTCATCCCCTCTGGTGCCCCGTGTCCCCCCAAGCATCCCTGGTGCTGGATGTTGGGCTGGGGGCTCTTGGGGAGCAAGGGATGAGCTGGACATCCCCAGGGGCGTGGCAGTACTGGTTTTGGGGTGCAGCACACCCTGACACCCCCCTCACACCCAGCCCAGGGTGCTGGTGTGGGGAGGAGAGGCACACACCGGGTTTGGGGGGTTATAGCCTCGGCCCCACTCATCCCTGTGGCCGAATTCAGATGCTGTCTCAGCACATGGAGCAGCTGAGCCCTGTCTGGCTCGTATCGCTTGTGGACGGGGCTGGTCTGTGCCCCCAAACCAGCGTCTCCAGCCCCAAGCGTGGGGCTGATCCTGTCCTGGTTCTGCCAGGCCAGCTCATCTCCCAAGGGATGGGGTGACGTGGGGGGCCTCAGCCGGGGCGAGCTCTGCGGCACGGACAGGCCGTGGGGCAGCAGATGCCATTGGGCTGCATGGAGCCCCGGGAGCCTCGTGCCCCAGTTTCTACTTGTCCTTCGCAGAGCTGCCACCCTCCGAGTTCATGCAGGTGGCAGATTCGACGTGGCTGGTGCTCAGCGTTGTCTCCAACGGGCGAGCGCCCTCCGGCTGCCAGGCCACCGGTGTCACCAAGATCGCCAGGTCGGTCATCGCGCCGCTGGCCGAGCACCACGTCTCGGTGCTGATGCTCTCCACCTACCAGACTGACTTCATCCTGGTGAGTGCGGGGCGAGGACGGGGACAGGGATGCTGGTGCTGTGTCCTGCCGGGGTGTTGGCTCCAGCGGAGCTGGGTGGGGACCCCGCTGTCCCTGTCCGGCAGTGGGGGGGCTGTGGGGAGGGGTGGCAGTGCCGGGCCTGATCCTGCACCCCTGGCCAGGTGCGGGAGCGGGACCTGCCTGTGGTGATCCACACGCTGGCGGGGGAGTTCGACATCTACAAGGAGGAGGGCGGCGAGTGCGTCCCTGTCACCTGCGACGATGTGAGCAACGGCTTCCTCAAGCCCAAGCCGGGTGAGTGATGCCAGGTCCCATGTCCCCCAGGGCCACGCTGTCCCCAAGGCTGCCCCATCCCTGCCGAGATGCTCCAGCTCCCACCGGCAGTCCCCGCATCCTTGGGGGGACACCTAGGGTCACCCCTCTGTGCCCTGAGGGATGCCGGGCTGTGGCCACGGTGGCCACGGGGTGGCACTGCGGTACTGTCCCCAAGCTGTCCCCAAGGCTGACGGTCGGCTCTCCCCCTGCCAGCCGCTAGCCCCACGCTGCACCCCGTGCAGAGCCCCCAGACCCGCTTCTGCGTCCTGACTGTGGCCCCCGACACGCTGCCTGCCATTGCCACCATGCTCATCGACGTCCTCTTCTACTCCCACAGGTGGGTCCGGGGATGGGGACACAGTGGTGGCCCCTCGCATGATGCCACCTGAACTGAGGTGACATGTCCCTGCCCTTGCTCCCAGTGGCTTTTCAGGCTCTGGGTCTGTTTTGCAAACTGGTTTTGCTCTCCCAAGCATGCTGGGAGGCTGCAGCTATGTGGGTGCTGGGGGTCCCACTGCCACCGTGGGAGATGGGACCCCCGAAGTGGCTGGGGGAACGAGCCCCCAATTGCAGCAAAGCCCAGGGAGGGGAGTTGCAAAAAAGAGAGGAGTGGGTTGCAACAGGCCATTGGGAATGGTGCTGGGGTGAGGGGATGCTCCTGGCTGGAACCTCCCGTGTCTCCCAGGATGGGGTCGCTTCTGGTGGGACCCTCCTGCTCTAGAGGCACCACGGCATTTTGGGAATCCCCCACAACCCAGTGTCACCCCTGTCCTGCCTGCGGCTGGCACCCGCTGCCCCCCAGCCCGGCAACTGTGTGAGCTGCAGGTAGCACCCCCTCCTGTAGCCACTCCTCCCTCACCGTGCAGCTTCCCAACACGGTGCTCTAAGACACCCAGTGCCTCCACCAAGCCCTTCTCCTCCCAGTTTCGGGGGTCATGACTTCACCCTGTGGCTCTTTCCTCCCTACTCCACTCTGCAGCCCCCCAAGGGAGGCTGGCGCCAGCAGCCAGGACCTTGACTCCATCACCTTCTTTGCCTTCTCCCTCATCGAGGGCTACATCTCCATTGTGATGGACGCCGAAACCCAGAAGCGGTAGGTGCCGTCCCTGGGGCTCTCTGTCCCTGGGGCTGGGGGGTGTGTGTTACACTCAGGTGCCCCCCTTTCTCAGGTTCCCCAGTGATCTGCTGCTGACCAGCTCGACAGGGGAGCTGTGGCGGATGGTGCGGATCGGCGGGCAGCCCCTCGGCTTCGGTGAGTGTGGCTGTGGTGGCCATGTCCCCCCGCCTCAGCCCGTGCCACCACCACCCATCCTCCCCCTATGCAGGGGGTGCTTTGGGGTGATGCTCTCCTTGTGTGACCCCATGGCTGGGCCACCGCTCACCCCAGGGTCCCTTTCCTTCCCCAGATGAGTGTGGCATCGTGGCGCAGATTGCTGAGCCGCTGGCCGCCGCTGACATATCGGCATATTACATCAGCACCTTCAACTTCGATCATGCCTTGGTGAGCCCCTGCCCTTCCCCGCCGCCGTGGGGGTGACCCCTTAGGGTTGACACCCCCTCTGTCCCTGTCCCCTCCCCGGCAGGTCCCCGAGGAGGGCATCGCTGAGGTCATCCAGCTGCTGCAGCAGCGCCAGGAGAGCAGCAGATAGCAGCCGGCTGTCCCCTCGCCGGGTGGCCCAGCGCGGTGGCATGGTGGGCTCCCCCCTTCCCCCCCATCCACTCTATTTGTTATTTTTTAATTTTAAGGCTTGCCCCAGGTGCGGGGCAGAGCCGGGTGCAGCATCACTCCCTGCCTGCTGGGGACATGGTGGCTTCAGGGATCTGGTGGCCTCGTGGCAGTGGGACAGTGTCCCGTGGGAGGGGGGGGCAGTCCCCACCGTGCCACCCCACGGGTGAGGCCACAGGCCAGCCCTGTACCACCCTCTGCCTCCCGCCCTGCCTGCGCTGGGCCGGGGTGGGGGGCTCGGGAGGAGAGGGTGTCCCCAGGGACCTGCTGGAGGAGGGGACATGGAGGGGGACATGCCAGAGAGCAGTGATGTGCCACCACAGTGCCGGGGTGACAGCCAGGGGTGTAAAGGGTGGGGGGCAGCTGTGGTGCTCTGGGGCACCCCTGGACTGGCCCCATGGGAGGTGAAAGCATCCTTGGAGCTGGGGTTCCCCCTGACACCCCAAAAATCTCCAAGCAGAGGGGTGTGGGGGGGTTGTGGTTCAGCCCCAGCCCTGTGTCTCCTCTGGGGTGGCCCCATGCCCCTTCCTGGGCTGTTGTCTCTCATGAGGGGACAACAGTGACCCCCCCCAGCTCCCCCAAGCTGTATTTTCACATAGTTTTTAATAAGTCAATAAAAGTCCTATTATTTTTATTTCCACATAGCCCCGGGGGAGCGCCCCAGACTGGTGCCACTAGGTAGGATGGGAGGAGCTGGGATGTGACAGGGGGACGTGGCATTCCCTGTGTCCCCGCTGCGAAGTCCCCAGGCTCACCTGCCACATATTTTGGGTGAAAAAAAAAAAAGTTGCCAGCCCTGACAAACCAGGGAGGATGGCCCCCACCCTTACAGGTGGCCAGCAAGGGGAGAGGATGTGGCAGAAAGATGACAGCATGGGGGCTGTCCTCTCCTGGGGTGCCTTGGGGGTGCTGTCCCCATGCAGATGCCCCCAGGGGCCGCACTTGGCCAACGAGTGAGGCTCAGCAGGAGCACGAGCACAGCAGAAACCTCTTCGGGGTCCTTTCCCCCAGGGTGGGCAGCTCAACAGGGCTCAGGCCAGTGGGTAGTGGGTGAACATGACTCTGCTGCCATCCTGTCCCCAAAAAACGGCCCCCGCTCCCCCAGGCACCAAGTGGGGAGCATGCCCAGGTCCTGGCTGGGTCCTCCCCACGTCAGCTCCCACATGGTTGCAAGCCGTCGGTTCTGCAACCTCCCCGGGCGCTTTCTTTCCTGTCTCACTCTCTTGTCCCCAGTCATGAGACACTGGTGACGTGTGCCCAAGTGATGAAGAAATTGCAGCCGGCCCATGCGGTCACCGGTGCTATTTTTGTCCCCATTGGGTATTGCACAGTCCTCTGCCACCCACTTTCCTCTGGCGGAGTGGCCACCATGTGGCCTCCTCCCTGCCCGGCCCCGCAGGGACCCTGCATGGAGCCCTGGGAGGTGACAGTGCCATGCGGAGGGGCCAGGGCCACCCGTGGCCATGGGGGGGACCTGACTTGGGAGTGTGCTCTGCCTGTGTGGTCCTGCTCCCCCCGCCAGGGGGCCTGGGGGGGCTGTCACAGCACCACACGGGCTGGAGGAGCCCATGGGGTGAGGGAGGGATGGATGGATGGATGGATGGATGGATGGATGGATGGATGGATGGATGGATGGATGGAGAGGTGGTGAGGGATGATGGTTCGTTGTATGGATGATAGATGGATAGACAGGTTGATGGATGGCTGGACAGGTGGATACATGGACAGATGGCTAGCAGACTGTCTAGACACACAGATGGATGGACAAAGTACTTCAAGTAGTGGGGACAGAAGGATGTTCTGGCTCCTCCACCCCTCCAGGGCTGCCCTGGGCACAGCCCTGCCCACTGAACCCAGCCTGGCCACCACCTCTGCCGGGGGATGCCCCGAGGAGGAGGAGGCAGCTGGTGCAGGAAGCAACGCCAGCCTCACTCCCGCAGCAGGGAGTCCTGCAGGTCACGGGGTGGCTGGGAAGGGGAAATTTTGGGAAAAGAAAACATTTCTTCTGGAAGTGAGTCATGGACACGCTCTTCCGCCCCAGAGGAGATGTCATTTCTGGATTGTCCCCCCGTGCTGCCACCAAACCCTCTGAATGCACAAATTTGTCACAGGGGGGGCTCCTTCTGCTCACGCCGGCAATTTTTGATGGTCACCAAAATCAACTGGATTGCAACACATCTCAAAAAGCTGATAAAATGTATTCATTTTTATGGGGTGGTGCCAGACTCCCGGTGGGCTCCATCCACCAGGACAGGGGGGCTGTGGGGGGCAAGGGGGTTTGCGCTGGGTGCTGCCGGCAGCACCGAGCCCCACAGCAATGCCAGCTGGGGCCGTGCAAGCCCGTTTCTCCCATGGCCGTATTGCATAAGCCTGTCACAGCAGCGAGAGCAGTGCTGCCTGCACCGCTGCCCGCGCCAGGCTTCCGCTGCCCTCAGCCCCCACACCCTTGGGCAACACCCAGGGCCCTGTGTGGGTCACAGCACGGCTGTGCAGCACCGGGTGGTTGCGTTTCCTCCCTGGGGCACTCCTGGGTGCTGCTGGACAGAGGGGCTGAACCATGTCTCCCGCACTTATCACCCAAATTCATCACCCAGAGGGGTGGGCGGGTGCGAGCAGAAGGACATACAGAGCATTCTGCAGAGCATCGCTGAGCACCGCATCGGCACAGTCCCCTGCCATGCTGGGATGCTCCAGAGGCACCTCCTGGGCTTCCACCTCCCTCCTTCCCAGGCCAGATTTTTGGGTTTCACAGCTGGGCTCGGGATGTGAAGCCGCGGGATGGGACACAGGTACCCCTGTACAGCTGACGTCCCCATCCCTGGGTCCCAGCCCCGCTACTGCTGCTGCCCTCTTTTGCATTTGAGTTTCGGAGCAGCTGAGGCTGGTTGTGGTTCAACCAGCCCATTGGACACTGAGCAGTGAAACCGGGGTGACTCAAAGCAGCCCGTTCCCAAGAAAGTGGGTTGTGGGGATGAAGTGGCACCGGCGCAGCCAGATTGGGGACGAGCAGCGGGACCGTGGGCTCCCTGGGCTGGACCCACCAAGGACTCCCTCGAGGAACTGAATCGAAGAACTACCCCATCGGCCGGCCAGCATCATTTCCTCCCGCCGAGGTGGCTCACCCCGCTCATTGGCCCCCGGGGCACGGCTTCACTTCTCGCTGGCTTGCCGTTGGGTCCGGGTGCCTCCTTCGGAGGTGGGGGCGAATGGGTGCACTTTAAAAGGCGAGCTTCCCCATCGCCGAGCAGTTAAGGAAGTCGCTTGTGCGCCCGGCAGCCCCGTGCCGAAACACCCTGCCCCGGCCATGCGGTGCGTCGGGCGGCCCTGGGGCGTGCTGGCAGGTAGGTGTCTGCCGGCGTCCTCTAACTGCCCTCTCGCTCGCACGCCGGCTGTGCCGAGCCGGCCCGGAGCGGCAGGAGGGAGCGTGGCAGCGGGGGCCCGCGTGGGGTTGGGTTGGCGTGCTGCGGCAGATGTTGTTGCCAAGGCTGTCCCCGCCGTGCTGTGGCGGTGTCACCTCCCAAGGGGGCCAGTGGGGGACGGGGACGTTGCCCCCTACGGCACAAGGAGCACCGTGGATGGACACCCCATAGGGGCTCCCTTCTTCCCCGGGGGGGACGGTCAGGAGGGGACATGCTTTGGGATCAGTTTGGGAATGGATGGCAGAGGATCAGGGCTCACTGGCACGGATCCTGCACCCTGCCCGAGCCCTGCAACTCCCACAGTGCAGCCGGGCCAGGGGCTGTGCGCCGCTCCAGCGCCACATCCAAAGTCTGTGCGTGCCGAGGGCCAGGACAGGGTCTGAGGGCTGGATCCGGGAGTGTCATTGCTGTCCCCTCCTTTGTGGTGGCCCATGCTGGCGGGGGGAGCTGCTGGGGCAAGCTGGGCTGCGCTGCCTGGCTGCTCAATGGCACCTTCATCCTCCTCCTCCCCACTGGGTCCCCAGCAGCCTTGTGGCACAGGGGCTGGTTGTCCCCGTGGCAGGACCGGGAGGCTTTGGCACAGGGGATGCGTGTGCCTGGCACATGTCATTCTTACCTCCAGGCCTGATGCCAGGCTGATGGGCACACGGGACCAAGATGTCCCCGCAGCAGCTGTCACCATGGCACCAGGGCCATGGTGCCCATGCGCCAAAACTCGTCCCTTTCTGTTGCAGAGAGGGGGCTGCCTCCCTGCACCCAGCAATGTCCCAGTGTCCCCCATCTGCCTCCTCTTCCTCCCCAGCTGTCACCAAAGGGCTCTTCATCCTCTGGGCAGTGCCAGGCCAGGGGGGGCGGCCCCCACAGCCCCCCACCCTGCAGCAGATCCACGCACTGGTGAGGCACATGGCTGAGGACGCACAGGAGCTTTTCACCTTCTACGTGAGTCCCCTTCCCCGGGACAAGGGTCATTCCTGTCCCCTCCATTGGGGGACACGGTGCTGGGTGGGGGCTGGGGGTCCCCATGCTGCTCCCATCTGACATCCCTGATTTTTCCCCGCCATCCCTGGGCAGGAGAAGAACCAGCACCTGGCCATCAACAATCTCTGCCGTACCAACCGCCATCCTGAGTGGCTGCGGGGAACGGTGACAGGGCCCGGGGGGCTGCGGGGGCTGCGGGGGACCATGGCCCGCATGGCCCAGGAACTGCAGGACATCACCCGGCACCAGCGTGACCTCAACCCCCCTGGTGCCGAAATTCTCCGCCGCTTGGCCAGCACCCACCTGAAGGTGCGAGGGCTCCTCAGCAACCTGGAGGGGCTCTTCCCACCCTCCTGCCCCCG